CGTCCCTGGGGATGCCCTGACACCCTCCGGGACCTGGGAAGGGGATGCTGGGGCCATTGCTGGGGTAGTGAGGGGGGAAAATCGCCCTGATGAGGGTTTTTTTGTAGGAAAGAGGACTCCTCTGCGGTGGGAAGGCTGGGAGAGCATCTCTCCAGGCCTCCACCTGCCTCCAACTATCCACCAGGCGCTGTCTGCGGTCTGAACAGCAACATCTTCTCTTTTTATTTTTAAAAAGAAGAAATAAAAACTGGGGAAAAAAAAAGAAAAGGAAGCCCCCCCCACCCCAGTTTGCCCCGGTGGAGCAGGCAGTCGAGGCTGGGTGGGGAGAGCAGCAACGAAACCCTCCCCTGCGAGCACAGCCAGCTCGCTGATGAGATAAAGGAGGAACGTTTTTCTTTCGATTATAGCAATCGTAGGTGTTGCTTGTAATAACAGGTGATAAGATCTTTTGGAGAGAGGGAGGTTGTTGTCTGATTTGGGGTTGGTTTTTTGTTGGTTTGTTTTTTGGGTTTTTTTTAAGTTTAAAGAAACTCGGGTGGTTGAGCATTGGGAGATGTTTCAGTGAGGGCGGGATGGATGAGTGGAGTGGGATGGATGCGGATGGCATTCAAGAGAAGCTTTCCTGCCATCTGCAGCTAAACTTTATTTTAAATAAGAATTGTCCTTAGCCGGTGCTGGGAAGGGTCTGCTCCCCGTTTCCCTCTGGCTAATTGGGTTTGGGATGGAAATGCGGCATCTTTCCCCCAACCCATCCTGCGGTGTCAGTGGGCTTCGGTTGGGGGGTCCCGAATTCCCCCTAGACACTGGTCCCAGCCTGCCTGCGGGTTTGGCACAACACTATTTTGGCAGGAGGAGGAAAAGCTGGTGATTAACGAGAGGAAAGGTTTCCCCCGGCTGGTTTCCCCCATGCCCTTTGGATTATCAGGGTGGCAAAGGTGTCTGCCGTACTTGCCATGCCCACCTTCCCCGGCTCTTGGCCACCAAACCGGGCTTCCCAGAGGGAAATCCAGGCTAGGAGGGAGGGGGTGGGGACCGCTGGGGTGCACACACTCCACGGGGTGCAGCATTGGGCTGAGGTTCCTTACCAGGGCACCTGGGCAGAGCGGCTTGAAGGATGCTCAGGCAGCGGATGGGGAAGAAACGGCGGTGGTTTTGGCAGAGGAAAGGCTCGTGGGTTCCTCTGCGCACCCTGGCTGCTTTCCTGAGCCCCTCTTTGGGGATGGGGAATTGCCTGGGGGAGTGAAACCCTCGCCTGGCCGGGCTGAAAATAGCCAAACCTGGCACTCGGCTCCGCTGAGTTGCTTGGGCTACTTTTTGTTAATTATAATTTATTTTTTTCAAACTGGCTTCTGCTACTACACATCCTCTTTAGGGAGGCACCTCTGCTTTAGGAGAGAAAGGGTGATGCCTGTGTTTTCCCGGAGCTCTCCGTCGGGGAGGGCAGAGGATGCTGCCTTTAGGCTCTAGACCCGCTCCAGCATCACCGCATCCTTCTCCCAACCCAACATCCCATAGGGATGAGCCCAGCCAGCGGAAGCAAGTGTGGGCACGAGGTTGGGGCCAGCCTGGGTGACGGTGGGTGACGTGCTCGGCAGGAACTGCTGGCTGTCACATGAGGCCACCGCAGGCACCCGTCCATTGGGGGGCCGGTTGGCAGCAGCACCGGAGCTCAGTGCTCTCAGGGGCGTGTGGTTTCCTCCTCTTCGGAAAGCTTCGGCTTTGAGGCAGAAATTAGGTAACAATTAAAAAAAAAAATGAAGCTGCTGCTTAAAAGTCACCCTTGGGAGGAAGAAGGTCTGCACCGAAATACAGAAGGGGGCATCAGGGGCTCTGCAAAGGGCAGTTCCTGGTGCCGTTAACCACCTCACCCTGTAAAACTGATAAGCAAATTTCTTGTGCTATATTTATAACAACGCCACTGGCTGATGCCATGAACGTCCGCAGTCTGGGAAGGTAAAAACGCTGGGACCGGCTGGAGCCTGTTCATCTTGACGAGGTTTGCTGGGACAGTTTCCTCTCTAGAAGAGGGAAAAAATACTCTTTATAAAGGCTCAAAAGCCTGAAGGCAGGCTATAAATTTTGTATCCTCTCTGCGTTTATAAAATATAAATGTTGGTGACAATCATGAGCTGGGAGCCCAAACCACCGGCCTGTGGGATTGGAAAGATCCGGCTCTCGCGTGAGGTGGAAAATGGTTTTTCCAACCTCCAGAAGGTCCGGGGATGGACCCTTGGGCATCCTGTCCAGGTGATGCTCCCTGGCATCCTGACCCAGCTCTGATGGGCAAAGCTCAGCCAGGATTTCCCAACTGGGTCACGTCTGGGATGAAACCTCCATCCTGCTGCTCTTTCTCCTTTGGTTCTTTCCAGATAGCGGTGTCGGAGGGCCCAGCTGGTGGGAAGCGCTGACTCAGCGCTTTGGGGATGAGCAGCTCCTTGAGCAATACCAGGGCCGGCTCCTGCTCGGCGTCCCCACGGGGTGCCGGATGGGGAACAGGGCCGAAAATGCTGGCAGTGAGAAATTCCCTCCGCAGAGGCACTTTCTCTTAAGCTGCCTGCTTCCTTTAGCCAGACCCCTCTAGGGACTGGCGGAGCGGTGTAGTTTATTCCCTGTTTTTCTTGGGCTGCGTTACGGACTGGCGGCATCTGGACCCTTTGCTGAAATTTTTGCTCCATGCTGGGTGTGAATTTGGGGTTTAACCAAAAATTGGATTCAAAATGAAGAGAGTTTGAGACGGGGAAAATTCGGGGGGGCTGCATTCCCAGCTGACACTATCCCGTCCAGCATCATCCAGCATCCCCGGGCTCATGGATGCCACCAGGTTGGGTTTGGGTGCCATCCCGAGAGGCTTCTCTTCATCAGCAGCCCTGGGGATGGCTGGGAGGAAAACCAACCTGATGCACAGGGCCCAGAGGCTGCGGTGATGGGCTTTGCTGAAAACCCCAGCGCTCAGCTTTGGGTCCCCAAACTATGTCCTCAGGGTTAGTGGCCGAGCCTTGGTTTCTCCCCTCTGATGCCAAAAATAAAGCGACTTGTGGCATGTCCCCGCTCTGGGGGAAGGTGAGGAGGTGGTGGCAGCGTGACGCCTTTTCCGGAGGGGTCCAGGCCCAGCTGTGGTGGAAACGGGGCCATGTTCGCACCCATTCTCTTCCTCCCCGTGGTTCTGCCCCTTATCTTCTTCTTCCTCCTCCCTTCTCTGCCGGCCTTGCCCCTTGTTTCAGTTCCTCCTTCCCAAAATATTTTGAGCTGCTGACAGCAGGGCTGGGAGCAGTGGCCGCTGATGGCCCTGAATCGATACCATGAATTAATAAATACCTGGGGGACTTTTGGTGTGCACAGGCAGGGACGCCCCGCCTGCATCCTGCTCCGTGCCCCCAGCCCGCTGCAACCCCAGTGCCCCGGCCCAAGAAAGCCGGGTTTGATGCAGGGGCCGGTGACTTCATCTCTTCCCGGGGGTCAAAGTGGTGAAAATAAAGCTGGGTTTGTTCCCCTCCCACACGCCGGGGCAGGATGCGACCTAGCCTGGGGCCTCAGGGCACTGCCGGGGGGGAGTACAGCACCCCCAGTCGGTGCATCCCACTGGGATTTAAGAGCCGGCGGGAGCTCCTGTGTCCTGGAGTGCCAATGGACTTTATCCTAGAGGAAACAGATTTATTTTATTTCTTTTGGATCCTGGGCCTGGGAAGCTCCCAGGGTTGGATGTTTCCACACATGGGTCACCAGGCTCCAGGGGAGAGCAGGGCTCCGGCTGCGCAGCCCCCGGTGCTGGCGGGGAAGGGGCTGGGCTGCGCGCTTTATCCTAGAGGAAACAGATTTATTTTATTTCTTTTGGATCCTGGGCCTGGGAAGCTCCCAGGGTTGGATGTTTCCACACATGGGTCACCAGGCACCATAGGAGAGCAGGGCTCCGGCTGCGCAGCCCCCGGTGCTGCCGGGGAAGGGACTGGGATGCTCGCCGGGGTGTGAGCCTGGGGCTTGGGGGGGCTGCTCCTCGCTGGCCATACCCCCTGGCCGCCCCGTGCCTCAGTCTTCCCCTAGTACTGCTGGGACTGTGCTGGCAGCGCCCGGAGATGGGCGGAGGAGGCTTTGCAGGATGAGGCTGGGGGGATTTTGCAAGGCAGAGGCAGTTGTACGTGTGCTGGGCAGAGGGTTTGAAGCTTCTCTCGCTGCCAGTTCCCAGCCGGTGCAGTAACCACCCCTGGGCTGGGGAACGGGCTCTAGCTGCTCCTGGAGGTGGTCTCTGCTCCCTTCCCATCCCCAGGCATCTCTGTCCCTCTGTATAGTGCCATATTTTTCCTTGCTCCATTGATACAGATGCTGCAGCGGCCACGCCGCAGTATCCGTGCAAATACCTTATAATCCGGGTGAGCAGCTCCGCACCGGTCCAGTCCCCGGCTGCAGGGGGGCTGAGCAGACCCGGAGCTCCCACAGATGGGTTTTGGCATCAGTTTGGGAACATTTTGGAAGTGGTGCCTTGGACAAGACCTGTTCCTCTTGGCGGTGAACGAGATGCTTGCATGGCCCAGGGAGCATCCTTTGTGGGGGGGCCGCTCCCCATGCATCGCCCTTGCACAGCCCTCCCCGCTGTGCCCGGTTCTCAGTTGTCCTTTTCCCCCCTGCAGGTCTCATGGTACCAAGTGACGTGTCCCCCCTGTGAGATTCGCGTCCCCCAACCTCCTGAGAAGATGTCAGGGATGCAGGTAAGCACCGGGCAGGGAGGAAAGGTGGTGGTGGAGCGGGCTCTCCAGCCTCTCCATCTCCTTTACAGATGGCCCCGGGGCTGAGGAGGGACATGGGGGCTCTTGGCCCTGTCCCTGTGCAGACAGCCAGCACCACAGGGACCTGAGGTTTTGTGTCCCCCCCACAAATCCCTGTCCCCGTCCCAGCTGAAAAACATCATCTGAGCTCCCAGGGCTGCCCAAAATCCCCCAAACTGCTGGATTTAGTGAAACCTGTGTGGGTTTGCATCAGAGAGATGGGAGACCTGCATGCCCATGGTCCCTGTGGCTTGGGGGGACGGGACATGCCCAGCAGGGCCCTGACACCATCCCCCTCTCCCCGGCCAGGCCGTTTGGCCGTCCGGTACAGAATGTATCGCCAAATACAACTTCCACGGTACCGCCGAGCAGGACCTGCCCTTCAGCAAAGGAGATGTACTTACCATTGTTGCCGTCACCAAGGTAAGGCCATTTTTTCCCCACAGTCCCCCCAGGGCTTTCTGCTTCCACAGGGTGCTGGGAGCATCCCTGCGTCCCATGACGTGGCATTTGCTGTGCCAGTAGGATCCCCCCGGTCCTACTGGAAGTCCCGCAGAGCCAGCAGGGCAGGAATCGAGGCCACGCGGTTGGTTAATTAATTTGCGGCCTCGTTAGTTAAGGTTTCTCCGAAATGTAAGCCTCTCAAGTGACTCCTGGGAGGTGGAGGAGGGGGGGAGGCTCACAATCGGGGAGCGATGCTGCGCTCAGCGCCAAGGGAGAAAAAGAGAGTGGGGGCTCTGGGATGCCCGGCAGCCTGGGAAGGGGATCGTGGTGACCTCCGTGGGGCCACCAGCATCGGGGTTTGCTGGCCCCAGCACCGCCCCCAACCTTTGCAGCTGTCCCCTGCCTGCCCCATCCTGCCCGCAGCCAGGCACAGGGTGCCGGGGTGCTTGGGACCATGCGGGCAGCTGCCTGGGAAAGGAGGGGCAGTGCTGACCCCCCCGCGGGCTCCTTTGGTGGGACGCTGCCACCTCTGGGGGCCACAGGCTCATCATGACATTGCTGCTGTCCACCCAGGATCCCAACTGGTACAAGGCGAAGAACAAGGTGGGCCGGGAGGGCATCATCCCTGCTAACTACGTGCAGAAGCGGGAAGGAGTGAAAGCTGGGATCAAGCTCAGCCTCATGCCGTGAGTATCCCCTGGGGCTCTGGCAAGGTGAATTTGGGGGCAGCTGGCTTGGCCTGGAGCATCCCTGCTGTGTCAGACCAAAGACCCGGTTGTTTTCCCGTGTCCCAGCAGAAGCAAAATCCCTCGCAGGGGCTTAGCGAGGTTGAAAGGCAGAAGGGGCAGGCGCTTGGGCTTTCCCAGCAAGCATCGATGAGTGGTTGGATTGTGTTTCAAAATGAGTCTTTTACCCAAAGTTGTGGTTGTAAAGGCTGCTGGGAGAAAGAAGGGAGGTGAGAGATGGTTGTGATGTCCCTGCTGCATCCCAGAGCCACCAGCGACCCCCCAGTCTGGAGGAGCCAGGGGGAAGAAGCCCCCAGGGGTGCACGGAGGGGCCAAGTCCTGGGTTGGGGACTGGGGGAGCAGGGTGCCGTAGGAAGGAGCTGGGTGCCGGGGTGGGTCGGGGCAGTGAGGAGGAGCACAGGCAAGCTGGCCCAGTACAGGCAGGGATGAAGGCTGCTTCCCCGGTCCTTGACCTGCCCTATGTGCCCTGTTGCAGGTGGTTTCACGGGAAGATCACGCGGGAGCAGGCAGAGCGGCTGCTGTACCCACCCGAGACGGGGCTTTTCCTGGTGCGGGAGAGCACCAACTACCCCGGGGACTACACCCTGTGTGTCAGCTGTGAGGGGAAGGTGGAGCACTACCGCATCATTTACTCCTCCAGCAAGCTGAGCATCGACGAGGAGGTCTACTTCGAAAACCTCATGCAGCTGGTGGAGGTGAGGTCTCACCCGCCGATGGGAGCTGTCACCGCTCCTGTCCCCAGCCTGGGGACTGTAGGTTTGAGGTTGAGGGGGGACATAGAGGTCAGAGCTTGTGGGGCTGCGGGTTTGGAGCGCGGGAGATGGTGGGACCTTCTCTGCTGCCCCTGTGGGTTGAGGCTGCTGGGGACAGACTCCTGGGGCAAGGAGGGGGTTGGGGGGCACGATGGAGGGGGTGGCTGGATGGGCAAGGCAGGATGAGCAGGGGACAGAGGGACCAGGAGGAGGGACAGGGACACCCCCACCCCACCCACCCCCAAGCCGTTGCTGCTCCCATCCGCCGCCCGGTGCTGCTGCCTCCCCCCCGCGCCTTCCCCCGTCCCCCAGCATTACCCCACGGACGCAGACGGGCTCTGCACCCGCCTCATCAAACCGAAGGTCATGGAGGGGACGGTGGCAGCACAGGATGAGTTCTCCCGCAGTGAGTGGCCGTGCCCCTTCCCCGGCTCCTGGGGACCCCCCCCAGCACCCCCTCACTCTCCCTTCTCCCCCGCGCAGGCGGCTGGGCCCTCAACATGAAGGACCTCAAGTTGCTGCAGATCATTGGCAAAGGGGAATTCGGAGGTGAGCCCCGTGTCCCCAGCGCCACGGTGGCCCTAAGCTGGGGGGCTCCTCTGCAGCCCCCCCCAGGGTGATGGTGGGGCCCTGGGAGGCCAGGCTGCTTCCCATTGCCTCCCGTGCCCGTCTCTCCTGGCCCGCAGACGTGATGCTGGGGGATTACCGGGGGAACAAAGTCGCCGTGAAGTGCATTAAAAATGATGCCACAGCGCAAGCCTTTCTGGCAGAGGCGTCCGTGATGACGTGAGTGTTGCTCGACACAGCAACCTGGTGCAGCTCCTGGGGGTGATCGTGGAGGAGAAAAGCGGCCTTTACATCGTCACCGAGTACATGGCCAAGGTGAGACCCCACCCCCACCCCGGGCACCTGCCCTCCTGCTCTGCCCCCCCAGCACCCCCAGGGTGCCAGGGCTTCACCCTGGTCATCCCAGCTTGGGTGACATCTCCCTGGGGCCACCGTGGTGCTCGGGGGTGGCATCGCTGGCTCTGAGGGAGGGATGTCGTCCCTGGGTCCTTCCCCAGGCAGGAGTGGGTGGGATGCTGACCCTGGTGGCACCATCTCTCTCCGTCCCTCCAGGGCAGCCTAGTAGACTACCTGCGGTCACGCGGGCGGTCGGTCCTCAGTGCAGACTGCCTACTGAAGTTCTCCTTGTAAGTACGACAGCAAGGGGTCGGCCATGCCCGCCACCCTGACCTGCACCTGCCAATGTTTTGGGGCCACCTTGCTAACCCTCTTCTCCCTCCCACCCCACGCAGAGATGTCTGTGAAGCCATGGAGTACCTGGAAGCCAACAACTTTGTCCACCGGGACCTGGCGGCAAGGAACGTCCTGGTTTCGGAGGACAACATTGCGAAGGTCAGCGATTTTGGGCTGACCAAGGAAGCCTCCTCCACGCAGGACACAGGGAAGCTGCCGGTGAAGTGGACGGCGCCAGAAGCACTTAGAGAAAAGGTGGGTGAGCAGATGGGGGGCAGGGGAGGGGACCTGGTGGAGGCTGGAGGAAGGGGGCACATCCTGGGCTGCCCCAAATTTTCCACACAGAGGTGGAATACCTGGAGGTATTTAGAAGCTGGGCAGATGAGGTGCTTAGGGACAGGGTTTAGTGACGGGATGGCAGGGTTAGGGGAACGGTTGGGCTTGGTGATCTTAAAGGGCTTTTCCAACCTAAATGATTCCAGGATTCTATTCTATGATTCTAGGTGGTGCTTGAGCCCCAGTTCCCACTGTCTGACACCCCCCACCCCCCCAAAAAAGCTGCCCTGAGGGTGAGGGAGATCTGTTGCCCCCCATCCCTGCTTGACCGCACTCACGGGGTCTCTCTCTTTCCCCCCCAAACCCCAGAAATTCTCCACCAAGTCGGATGTGTGGAGCTTCGGGATCCTCCTCTGGGAAATCTACTCCTTTGGGCGAGTGCCTTATCCGAGAATCGTAAGTGAGGACCATCCCCCAGCCCCTCAGGGCTGGTTTAGTGGGGGTTTGGGAGGGGAACCTCGCACCCCCATCCTGAAACCCATGCCCTGTACCCCCAGCCCCTGAAGGATGTGGTGCCCCGCGTGGAGAAGGGCTATAAGATGGATGCTCCCGATGGCTGTCCTGCCGTCGTCTACGAGGTGATGAAGAAGTGCTGGACCCTGGATCCCGGCCACCGGCCGTCCTTCTACCAGCTCCGCGAACAGCTAGTGCATATCAAAGAGAAGGAGCTCTACCTGTGAGGGGGGGCTCACCTGCCCCGGCAGCTGGAGGGGACCCAGGCTGGTGGGGGACTGGGGTGTGGGGAACCCCCCTGCCCGGCCCCAGCCCCAGGAGCGGCTGGAAGGGA